TGATTTACAAGCAGATAAAACTAACAGAAACCCGAAGGGATTCCGCAGAAGTGAAGTATAACCAGACGCTCAACTCCAGCACCACTGTCAAACAACAATTTTATAACAATACAGAACACAACCCGTACGTCGAAACGGAACGATGGGACTAAATGCGATTCACAAGCACTAGCTGGGACAATAAAAACTACATCGCCCAAATGCGTAAGCTCAAAAATTGAATTAGCACCAACAAGAACTCTCAACCTTTTGTTCTCAATTCAAACGGGGCCAAGAAAAATTTACCAAAAACTGTACTGGGATCATATTATTATAACGAAATACAAACGCCCATCTGAAACTATATCTGAAAGTTCAAAGCTTCCGATGGCTAGCTAAAAGATCATAACAGTAACAGCAATAAGACGATTCACCTGTGCGATGCTGACGATGAACTGGCGGAACTTGGGGTGCATTGCAGCTTGATGTTTGAGCCTGGCGGCGACGGGTTTGCTCAGAGTTTTGATGGCCAAAGTCCCGAGCTTCAGGAGCGGAAGCACCATGGCTGCGCAATCTTATCTACAAATACAATCGTCTAGTGCTCACTGTTCCAGCTTCGGATCAAAGCTGATGAGAATTCAGCAGGAAATGCTCAATCGACGGTCGTGATGAAGGTGGAAATGGGGTGATTGTGTATCATTGCTGCGGGGTTGACTGGTTCAGACTTCAGAGGGCAAGTGAGATTCTTGGGGAAGAAGAAGAAGAGAGCTGAGAAATGGAGAAAGTCGGGGGAAAGAGAAGGCATGCGGGGAAAATGGAGTTTGTTTATTGGTGAAATTGGGGAAAAATGGAAGCTGCGATTTGGGTAGTCCTCGTTACTCCCATTCAGGGACGGGAACCGAATAATTCAGTGACTTTCGGCCCAAAAGACCGAATACACTGTTTAGGAATTTATTACGGCTAAATGAACCGAACCTAAAGCAACGAATTTGATTTTTATCAAGATATATAATTATAAGGGATGTATTATCCACATATTTCTTTTTACTTTTTATATATCTTTTTAATTTGCAGTCGTCGGATCAACTAAATTAAAAAAGATCAAGGGACAGAAATTAACAAAGGGTGTGTGAAAAGTAAAAAGAGATGTGTTAATAGAACATCTCAATTACAAATTCACCAAAAAATCTTAGATGGAATTGATGCTACTTGTTACAACTCATAACCAGTCAAATTCGAAAAATTATAAATTAAAAAAAGTCTCACAATGGTTAAGTGGGAATCGTTGTACATTATTCTAGCTCAAATTGAGCATATCTACACAATACAGCTTTGGTTGCAACTAGTTATTGTTGTCTATGAATCGGACTCAAACGGCATCATGTTGTACATGTTAAAGCAATCTGCCAACCCTAGACATCATAGTGGTAGAATCCACTAGAGGAAGGAAGAGAGACAAAGAGGATGATGAGGTTCAAATCAGATTGCCCATCATGTAGCAGAGATCCAGCCTGAACTCGTACTACTAACTGTGATGAGTTAGAAAACGTCAATGTTGAGAGAGAATGTGTGAGGTACTTTGTTAGGAAATAGATACTCAAAACAATAACTTTTTTCCTATTTCTTTATTGGTCTTAATGACGTTACGCTATTATTTGAAGATGTCTCAAGTTTAATTCCTTATTTTCCTGTTGAACTTGATGATGTTATGGATGACATCCTTATTTTCCTGTTTAACTTTGTGCTAGCTATAGTTTTCATGAGGTACGTGTGTTCCAACCATCTGGATGAAAATCAAATCTCAAGACTTCCATGTCAATTACATCAAACCTCAATGATCTAACAATTCCAAGTGAAAAGTTGCCTCGCAATTATCTTTTGGATATTTCATGGAGACATCACACTGACTCAAAAGTCTACCGCTTTAAGCGTTGCATCTTCATTGCAACGTCATTTTGACCGATGATTCAACAATATCACATATCTAAAGGTCTAGTAAATGACGTTGCGGCTAAGATGCATCAACAATATCAAATATGTAATTGATTTACTTGATACAATAACTAAGAACAATTCTAGTGTAAAAGACAAGGGCTAGGGGTTAAAAGGCTTTATTTGGCCTTTTAAAATGCCATTATCCATGGCACTCTCAAAATTTTACTGTTCTAATGGTGTGAGAGATTATGAGCCAAAAAGTATCAGGTGACTAGTTTTCATTGGCTACCGGTTTCTTCTTGTAATTAAGTTGACCCTTCAAGACCATTGTGCAAAAGTCGGAGCTAAACTGACCCCTTGAAGAGCTTTGCGCTATTTTAACCTAAGCTAGATATATCCCATTAAAAATTGAATTTTGCCATTTAAAACTAAATAACATTTTTCCCTAGGTTAGTCTGCAACTTTGCATATGCTTAGAATTTCTCCTCCGCCTTTAACTAAATTTGTGCGTCCTCAAATGTGATCAGTAACATAAGCCCAATGATATAGCAGCCCGGCCCACTTCCACCGCAAAAGACAACAAAAGGTAACCACGTCACCGATCCTCAATCCGTGTTACAGCTCCTAAAGCAACCCACATCCGTCGATTACCAAAGCATCAACGGCCAAAGTCACTTCTATATCGCGCCATTATTTTGAAACTCGCGCCCACGCACAACAAAAACACCCGCCGCGTCAGCGATCCTTAACAACAATAACCCATCAAACTAGGCACAGCCGTCGATAACACCAGTAAATCAACGGCCTCAGTTCGTCCTCTGCCATCTCGATTTTTCACACATCCCGCTATAAGATCCCTCCATAGCCAAAGCTCCCACTCACCACTCACAAAGCAATCAAATATCCCCAATCCAATCCACCAATGGCTCGCACCAAGCAAACCGCTCGGAAATCCACCGGAGGAAAAGCTCCCCGCAAGCAGCTGGCCACCAAGGCGGCTCGCAAGTCTGCTCCGGCCACCGGCGGAGTGAAGAAGCCCCACCGCTTCAGGCCCGGAACCGTCGCTCTCCGTGAGATCCGTAAGTACCAGAAGAGCACCGAGCTTCTGATCCGAAAGCTCCCCTTCCAGCGCCTGGTCCGTGAGATCGCCCAGGACTTCAAGACCGACCTGAGGTTCCAGAGCTCCGCCGTCGCGGCCCTCCAGGAGGCGGCCGAGGCGTACCTTGTCGGGCTTTTTGAGGACACCAACCTCTGCGCCATCCATGCCAAGAGGGTCACCATCATGCCCAAGGATATTCAGCTCGCTAGGCGCATCAGGGGTGAGAGGGCTTAGGGTTACAATGGGGTTTTAGTACAGATGGAAAAAAGAGTATGCTTGCGCAGGCGAGGTGTTTGATGAAATGATCATGTTATTTCGTGGGGTGTTGGCTTTTGGGTTTAGGGTAGAAAATGTAGGTTAGTATCTGAAAGATTGTAATGTTAACATCTACGTTAATGAAATCCAGTTCCTCTTCCGAAATTCGTTGTGAGTTGAAGTTTGATTTGTGCATTTTAGTTGCCAATTAACCCAATTTGTTAACATAGCCATAACAAACGCCGTGATATGAAGCTATACTCCCCACCTTTTGGATGCTCCTGGAAGTCAAAGTCCCCAGCTTGTTCCCGTTTGTTATGGCGATGCTCGATCCAACTCTCGCAATACTGTGTCAGTTGCTCGGAAACTGGTTCGAGGAAGTGAGGTCAGCCCTCTCGACAGCGCTCATGGATGGGGTTGTGGGAATACGGGCAAAGGAAACTCCGAATTCAACAGTGGTTTCAATTAGGCAATGATGAACTCGGTGTTCAGAGATTGCAAGCCAATCTTTGATGGGTTGAGTTCATCGGGTTACAATTATGTAAAAGTTCATTGGTTCATTGGATGGGGTTTTGAAAAGTTGCTAGGATTCCCTGCGAGGCCTTCCCTCAGCTGATGCTATTTTCCTCAAGGTAAGCAAATTTTCAACTTTTCAATTGTGTTATGTTCCGACTATTTTGTAACTAAATCAACTGCTATTTACCCTATTTATAACAAAACGGTTAGAAGCTAAATAAAGTGCTTTTAGATAGCGAAAATGAATAAAAAGGCAATATTAGATCATCAAGGCGATATGTCTCAAACTTGAATAATTTGGTGTCTCATTCGTGGTTTTCTTGAGTCCAATCAAGCATGCCATAAAACCGTTTAGGATAATTTATGGGTTTATGCACGTGTAAGCAACTGTTTCAAACATTTTTCTTAAGTTAATTTAATAAATTATAATTATTGAATCATTGTTCTTGCTATGATACATACAATTGGGAGACTTTTCCTACTTATTCATTTCCACATTAAACAAAGGGTACACGCATAATTTATTGGGCAAAAGTCTCGCATGCCAACCACTTTTTTATAAGTTTCAGATTTTAGCGTTGAAGTATGGCTACTTGGCCAAGACAAATCTGCAAAGTAGAAACCACAACAAAGACCACCAACCAAGTAAAATAGAAAAATTTGGATAGATCATATCATTACAGAATACGTACTTACAGTCATTACTAAGATAAAAGCAAGACGTAATTTTTGTACTTTAGTCTCATCTAACTTTATATCGATCTTACTTAATAATTGATATGAGAGTTGTCGTAATTAGTTAACGAAGTTTCTTTCCAAAGTAACCAAAGAGAAATGCCTATATTATAAAACATTATGTCAAAGAGTCTACGAAGAGTCTCACCCTTTAGACCATCTCCAAATGAATGTAAAATTATAAAAGTCAAATTATAATTGATGACTGATGTGGTAATTTAAAGTCTTATATCAAATTTTGTATTTCTCCAACTAAACCGAATTGTCAAATGTTAGTTTATTATTTAAATAGAACTTCAAATGGTTGAAATTATTAAAACAATGTTGGAACAAAATTTACAGGAGGAGGATTCTCTACCCTTCTAATCTCACTATCATTCCATGCCCTCCTATTTGAACGGTCATGGTTAAGTCACGTCAACATCTTATATTGATTTTTTTTATAGAGATAATAAGACAAAAAGCAATGTATGAGAGGAGGGGATGGAAGGGGATAAGAATAGAAGGGTAGAGAATCCTCCTCCAAATTTATATTGGTTGAAATGTTAGTGAAACAAGAAAAAAGAAAGAGAGAGCCCTCATACTGTCAGAATTAAGTATCCTAAAACGTAGATTGGTCATGTGGTCTCAATTAATTAGTCCTAAATAATAATAAACAAATCCAAGTTGCTCTTGCAGGCAACCCAAATTGAAGTCAAAGCTCCCTTCAGCAAATTAATCCATGGAAATTATGATCTCCTCCTTCCTACCATAATTGGGAAATATATAATAAAAATCCATTCATAAATTAATTAGAATCCACCGAATCCCCCATTTCCTGGATCAGAAGTTAGCAAACCAACAAAGCAAAATTATGAGTTTTGAAAAGGAGGACCTTGATCTGGTTTTGGTCCCAAGTGGATTGCTCATCATGTTTGTCTATCACATCATCCTTCTCTACAGATATATCCATCTCCCTCATACCACAGTTCTTGGCTTTGAAAACAATGACAAAAGAGCTTGGGCTGAAAGAATCATGCAGGTAAGTACCATGCCTCCCTCTTTCTCAATTAGCGGACCGGATTACGAAGCAGCTCAGCTCGACAAGCGTAAGTCCAAGAAAAACATTACCTAATTTGGCGCTCATAATGCGTCTGTTGAGCTGCTTTCATAATCCGATCCGCTACATATTACCCTAACATATATAACCTAATTTTCTTTGTGCCTGATACCTTCAATTGCAGGTTGATAAAAGAGACGTAGGCACAGCCCTAAGTGTGATTTCATCTAACACATCAGCAGCAACTTTTCTGTGTTCCATCTCCTTAACTCTCAGCTCCCTCATTGGAGCTTGGATCGGAAGTAATTCTAGTCAGACAGTCTTCCAGAGTGAATTAATTTATGGAAGCACCGACCCATCAATCCTCACAATGAAATACATAAGCCTCTTAACTTGTTTCCTTCTAGCCTTCGCATGCTTTGTTCAATCAGCAAGGCACTTTGTCCATGCAAACTATCTGATCAGCATGCCGGACAGTAACATTCCGGCGTCGTACGTGCAGATGGCGGTCATAAGGGGAGGTGATTTCTGGTCACTTGGGCTTAGAGCACTCTATTTTGCTCTAACTCTTTTGCTATGGTTTTTCGGTCCGATTCCAATGTTTATTTCCTCCATGGTTTTGGTCATAGTCCTCCATTACCTTGACACAAACACCAGGCCACTGCACCAGCACCAGCTTCCTGGAAAGGAGATCGTCAAACGCGTCGGCGAAAGGATCTCAGAGGTGGCTGTGACCATTCAGCGTCATACAGAAAGGGTTGAAACTACTAGAAGTACTGCCTAATATTGTATTTGTTAAAAGAATCAATTTTTTGTATGTAAATGGCAATCGTATATGCGTGTTTGTTTGGAGTTGTTGGGTAGTAGGTTTTCTTGGCTAGTTGTGCCATTGGAAATGTATGAGTATAAATATATTGCCACGGAAGATCAAATTGTAATTTGATTAATCAAATCAATGTATTATGAACACCAAGCAATGTTTAAATTATCGATCTAGATGAAAATATTGATATGCAAATTTATAGAAATATTGATATCGGTTGTCTTCAATGTAAATGTTGCAATGAGTTGGTATATCAACTCATTTAAATTTAGTCGAAATTAGTGAAAACTTTCTCAAAAAAATCAAAAAGTTCGAAATCTACAATGCGTTTCAGCAATTTTTTTGTAGTGAATCGATAAGTATAAAGTTTGCATTTCATCCCCTTTTCATATCGATCCTTAATTTTTTAGATATTTAAACGAAAATATCGACAATTTCATGGATATTTCAAACATTAACACCAAGAAAAAGTTTAGGTAGCTAGAAAATCGAAGATCATGTTTCCCTTCTATCTTTCAAATTTTGGTTTCTAGATTGGAATTTAGTAGGTCTTTTTTCACAACCAAGCTTCTCAAACCTCCTCTATAGAATCAAAACACCTAAAATCCTCGTTTTGAAAAGAAAAAAAAAACCAACTGTTATTACACTACACATGAAGGACTTTCTTCTATTGTAGTTTGATCTCTTTAAAGTTTTTCACTAGTATCATCAGTTGTCACGTAGACGATATTAATTAAGTAAATTTTATAGTGAGTGGTTAGTACTTGGAATGTCGATAATCTATACAACAAATAGTTGAATGTTCACCTAAACTTTGGAACGTGGGTTTGAATACTATAATACAGTTGTATGTTTCTTTATTTTATAAATTTAAAGGCAATTAAATTGACATTATTGCTTGATTAAGTTGACCAAATAGAATTATTTTTTCCCAATTATATAAGCAAACTAAATGCATAACTTGTTTTATAAGACATCCTTGTAAAGCACGCAACTTGCAACTTTTACATAAGTTATAACATAAGTAATTAATTGGACACTATTATGCCCAGGGGGAATGGCAACCAATTCTGCTCAATAGCTTGCTTCGTATGCCACTGCGCATGGTGGCACCTTTTTATGGGATAATATTGGATCGGAATTTCTTTTCAATACTCTTTGTATGTCACTGCGCATGGTTGGCACCTTCTTATTGCATTCTTTTATTTAAAACCTCGGCGGGCATGATAAAATTTTATTGATATGAAAAACAAAGTTACATCCAGTCAGATAAACATAAATACATTATTACTCCTCTCAAAAAAGAAAATACAAGCAAAAGATGGGGAGAATAAAACCAAACCCCTCTAAAATAAAACCTAAAAGATAAAGATCCTGCAACATAAGCTGCAAAACAAAAGGAAAATGTAAAAGATTTATGTTTAACTCTCGTTCTTGGTGCATGATTTTCTTATTGCATTCATGGTCACTGAAAATTTGATTCAACCCTACACACTTGACGCTCAAGAAACCAATAAGAAACGTTCATTTGTATCCACGGCCGATGATGGTGGCCACTTGTGATCACCGCCGGACTTCTCATAGTCGTGGCAAGATAGGATCACGACGGTTGCGACGGAGGAAACTAACATGGGAATAGGTCCAAAAAACCACAGCAGAAAATTGAGAGCAAAGTAGAGTGCTCTAAGCCCAAGTGACCAAAACTCACTTCCCCTTTGAACAGCTCTCTCGGCTTTTTTCACGTCGCTTTTCGCGGTAGCTCGCGGGGTGGCTAAAAGGTAGTTTGAGTGGACAAAGTGCCGAGCTGATTGAACAAAGCATGAAAAAGCAAGGAGAAAACATGTCAAGATGCAAATGTACTTGATAGAAACAGTCACTGGGTTTGTGTTGCCATATATTATTTGGCTTGGCAAGAAGTTATTGGCTGAGTTTGCCATCCAAGCTCCGATGAGAGCGCAGAGAGTTAAAGAGATTGATGCTAAGGTTGTAGTTGCACTTGTATTGGAGGAAATCACATCAAGAGCTGTATTAACTTTCGTTGCAACTTCAACATCGTCACCCTGCAGGAACAAATAGTGAACAAATTAACACAGAACTTGCAATTGCAAGGGCTGGTAGCTCAACTGGTTAACAGCATTCGCACCTGCACTGGGGAGTAGTATATATAAACAAACTTCACAAATTTCGGGGATATTAAAGAAGATATGGAACTTACCTGCAAAATTTTTTCAACCCAAATTTTCCTGTCAATGTTTTCGGACCCAATAGCGGTGGAGAGAGGGTGATTGAGGTATTTGTAGAGGAGGAAGAGGTGGTAGATTAGCATGATCAAGAGCCCCAACGGGACCAGCACAACATCTAAGTACTCCTTCTGAAAAACCATACCTTCTAATCTCCTGGTGCTAAAATGACAATGCAGCTGAGATCTGGATGGGGTCTTATTCGGTTTTTAATGGAGCTGCCCTGCCCATGATTCTTGGGATTTTTCGGGATTGGTTAAACAACGTAATCTTTGATTCGCTTTCTATGGGCTGAAAATTAGAGCTTGCTTCAGTTTCCATTTTAGATGCAGCTAATAGTTGACATTGAAAGCTGTTGTCGAAACCGAAAGCAAGTAGTAATCTTCATACACAAACTTCAAAGCGGAGACTCCCACATACTGGTTATTCTCTGCAAGTTCTGATTTGCAGCCAAATCTTATTCCACGAATCATGGATTGGACTGGACCGAACAGGAAGGATGGAACAATTTCTTGATAAAACCATCTCCAACCCTTAGGCTAAAACCTAAAATTTTTAGTCCAGAAAATTTAGGTTTTTGCCTAAAAACAGTTTTTCTGCTCCGACCCTTCCGGCCTAAATTTTTTAGCCTCAAATTATTAAAGAATAATTTTAGGCTAATTTTTTCTTTTAAGTTAATTTAGAAAAAAAAAATTATGTACACTATCATAATTTAATTTTATGATCATTTTAACCTAAAAATATTTAAATTCAGATAAATATTGAAAAATCACTAAATTTGGATGAATTTTGAGTAAAATAATTTTTTAATTATTTTAGCCGTTGGATTTAAATTTGGGCCTCTTTGTTTTACCGTTATATTTGATTATATTTGATATCAGCCGTTGGATTCAATAAATCCTAGGAAACATGCTCATGTGGGTGGGGTCTCGCTGGTGGTGCCCACACCATTTTCTGGGCTAAATCCTGTCGGAAATTTAGTTTTTGTTTAGCTTTTAGCCCACACATTTAGCATGAATTGAGTTGAGTTGGGTTTGAGAAAATAAAACCTAAAAAATAGCATTTAGTCCAGGGTTGGGTTTGGTCTAAACAGAAGAAGAAGACCCCTTTACTCTGCCATTTTTAGCAACAAGAGATTGGAAGACTATGGACTTTCACAAGTTTCAGAAGGGGCACTTAGATGCGGTGTTTGTCCCACCTGGAGTGCTAATGATGCTGATTTACCACCCCCTTCTCCTCTATAAGTACCTCATGCAGCCTCTCTCCACCGCCATCGGATACGAAAACAAGGACAAAAAAGAATTGGGTTGGCAAACTTCTGCAAGTAAGTACCATGCCTCTTTTTATATACAAGCGATATTTGGGGAGGGTGGATTTGAAGTTCGAACATAGGACCTTGACTGCAACGGTAAACGCTCTTAACCCTAATTTATTTACTTTTGATGGCTGCAGGACCAAGATGTTACAAAGAAAGTTTTTAACAGCTCCTGCTGTGATTTCCTCCAACATAACTGCACCTATAAACTTGGCAGCAATCTCTCTAACTCTGTGCTCTCTCATTGAAGCTTGGATGGCAAACTCCACAAACGACTTCGTCCCAAGAGAAATAATATATGGTAACACACACCGATCAACTATTTCTATCAAATACATCTGCCTCTTGACATGCTTTCTCCTTGCTTTTTCATGCTTTGTTCAATCAACGAGGCACTTCGTCCATTCAAACTACCTGTTAAGCACTGTAGGAGCTACTATGAGGATCGATGTGAAAAAAGCCGAGAGAGCAGTTCAAAGGGGAAGTGAGTTTTGGTCACTTGGGCTTAGAGCACTCTATTTTGCTCTCAATTTTCTGCTATGATTTTTCGGAGCTATACCGATGCTCGCTGCCCCTATTGTAACGGTTCAGATCCTAAGTTGCCACGAATTCAAGAAGCCAGATACAAATCAGCTAGTCTTCGCTCTTTAAATGAAGTGTATTATTCATTTCTTGAGCATAAATTTTGTACAGCTAAAATCATATGTTCTTCTTCCTTGTTGGACATATTTGTCTTGTCAGTTGTAGTTTCCAGCAAGTAATAAACAATCCTATTCATGTGAGAAATTGCAATCCCTTATTGCGTGAGAGTGAGAGGTAGTATAAGGACAGTCTAGTATGCTTGATATGTCACGGAAACGGCAAGGCCAGCTTGTACAACATATGCAAGAAAGTTGGACCTGACAATTTATTTTAGCAGCACCCGTCTTCGCTCTGTGTTGAGAGAGATCTGAAGTTCAAATTTCACAAACGATAAGTGTTAACAAAAGAAACTTTTGTAAGCACGTTGTGTTTGGAGCTTATGCAAGAGGAATTCCACGAGTGCTTTACACAAATCCAAGCAAATGGACTCCTCACCTAATATATTTGAGTAAAAGGGTCTTCTTGTTCTGCTTATAAAAAATCTGTACCGAAATTTCCTGTCTGGTTCGATCCATGTGAGTCTCCACTTTTGCAACAGCTTTCAAAGTCAACTACTGGCTGCATATAAATTGGAAACTGAAGTAATTTAAGTTATAGTTTTCAGCCAATCGAAAGCGAACCAAAGTTTAAGTTGTTAAAAGAAATCCCGAAAAATCCCATGAATCATGGGCAGGACAGCTTATAAACACAAGAAGTCCCCTCTACTGCATTGTAATTTTTGGCACCAAGAGATTGGAAGCTATGGCTTTTCTGCATTTTCTGGAGGAGTACTTAGATGTGGTGTTGGTCCCAACCGGGATCTTGATCATGCTAATCTACCACCTCTTCCTCCTCTACAAATACATCAATCACCCTCTCTCAACCGCTATTGGATCTGAAAACAACGACAAGAAAACTTGGGTTGGAAAAATCTTGCATGTAAGTTCCATATCCTCTTTAATTTCCCAAA